GTGGCCCGCCCTGAATCCGGCCCACCAAGCCATTTGATCCAGCCTGTGGCCCCCCCTGCCGATCCCCTGCCCCTCGGCCAATCCAAGATCTGGGGGTGGAGGAGTGTGCAAAGTCATTCACTCTTCAAAGTGGCTGGTGGCTTGGGAGGCAGCCACCAGCCATTTTGAACAGCAAATGACTTCACACACACCCCCCACCCCTAGGTCCTGATTAGCCTGGAGAGCGCGTGAAGTCCCCCCGCCCCTCTTCTGCGCCAAGGGCATATGGTGCCTAGAGAGAACCGCCTGAGACCTCATGCCTTCCGGGGTGGGAAGTGGAGCTGGCCTGTGACCATGAACCAAAGTTCATTAAAGTTTATTAAGAGCCCCCCCCCCCGCAAAATTATTGCCCGCTCCTGATTTATATGAAGTTAACTTATTTTTGTGGGTAGAGCATTATTTCTTCTTCGAGTGATGTCCCTGTGGGTGTTGGGCTCGTCCTGGCGCCGCAGATTGGAGTCTTCAATAGCAGTAGTCAGTTGGACCTCACATGCACGGTCAGCGCCTCGCGACATTTGAGTCCTTTCTCTCGTGCACAAGGTCTGGGTCCTGCCAGTTCCTTAGTTGCTGCCCTCAGATAGAGGCAGAACAAGCTCTTCTCCTCAACAGTTGATCACAAAATTAAGAATTCTGTTAGTTTCCTGTTTCCTATACATAGTTCATAGTTTTTACCATAATAGTTAGTTATAGTTAATCATAAAAAAACCCTAAAAAATGGTTTCCCCACTTTTCTGAGGTAGGTTTTAAAAAAAAAGATAAGGAAAGAAAGGACTGAAGTTACAGAGATGGAGGTGAACTCCCGATAGTTCCCCTCCTACTATGCTGGGTTCACCGGATTTTAAAAAATGTGACACATGTTGTGAGGCCATGCCAGCATTGGACAGCCATTCAGCATGTATCAGATGCCTGGGAAAGGCTCATGATAGGCTGAGATCTAGAGTGTGTGTGCAGGAGTGTTATGATGTGTGTGTGCAGGAGTGTTATGATGCTGCGGCCAAATGGAGTCTTGTCCCCAATTGGGTATTTGTTGTCCAGACTTCATTTTTAAATAAAATATTATGTCAAACACAAAAAGTTTCAGCATTGTCTTTATTTATGAGAAGGGTGAGGAACCTGTTTTGAGTCAGAGGTCAGTGACCCACAGAAAAGTCAGTTGGGGCCACACAAGTGAGATGCAAAAAAATAACTCCTCCAAAAAACCCCAAGCCTCACTAATGTAGCCCCAACTGTGTTGGTGGGAGCAGCGGCCATGGTATTGAGGAAGGGTGCTAGTGGGTACTGGGGCAGGGGACAGGGTGCTGGAGCAGAGCCAGGGTGCCAGTGGGCACTGGAGCAGGGGACAGGGTGCCAGTGGGGGCTGGGGACAGGGAGTCTCCAATACGTGTCTCCTCTGGGGACTCCTAACCTCCACCGCCTGCAGAGAAGGGAAGCCCCAGCACACACCTCCTCCCAGGACTCCTTCCTGCCCGCCACCCTGTCCTCCCCACAGAGGAGGAAAGCCCCGGCATGCACCTCCTCCCAGGACTCCTCCTGCCTCCGCCCCCCCGCAGAGGAGGGAAGCTCTGGAGTGCACTTCCTCTGGGGATTCCTCCCCTCTCCACTACCACCCTCCACAAAGGAGGGAAGCCCCGGTGTACGCCTCCTCTGGGGGCTCCTAAACCCTCTCCCCCCCCGCAGAGGAGGGAAGCCCCTGCATGTGACTCCTCACGGGACTCCTCCCCCTCCCCCTCTGAGGAAGGAAGCCCCATCATGGGCTTCCTCTGGGGACTCCTAACCCTCACCCCGCAGCAAGTCCCCAGCATGTCTCAGATCTGGGTTGTGGTACTGTGCCTGCTGTTTAGGGGAGGGAGAGCAACCAGCGCACTTCCTGAAACCCTGGAAGTGGCATGCAGCTGCTGGACTTCCTTCTACCCCACAGGAAGCCGGCACTACCTCCATTGTCGCTGAAGGTAGATAGTGGGGCTTCTTGGGGGTGGCAGGAAATGGGGGGCACCCAAACACCTCGCAATTGACTGGTTGAGCCCTCCCGATCAACCAGTCGATCCCGATTGACGGGTTGGTGACCATGACGTTAAGCAGACAATTTGCACCAAATCACAAATGGAAGACGTTCTCTGGCACATCTTCTGTCTCCGGGGTTTTCCACAAATAGATCTCTTTGCTTCCCAGAAAAACTCAAAATGTTGACAGTACTGTTCCAGAGCTGGGATTGGCAGAAATTCTCTGAAAGACGCCTTTCTTCTCAGTTGGGACAGGTCCACTACTTTACACCTTTCCGCCCACCATGCTCATTTCCAGAGTCCTAGAGAAAAGGGACAGAGCCAAAATAATTCTTGTAGAGCCATCATGGGCTCGCCAGCCGGGGTTTCTCTTTCTTTATCAAATGTCTTTTCTATTAGCTTTTCCCTTTCCAACCTCCCCAGCCTACTGACCCAGAACCACAGGACCCTTCTCCACTCACAGCATCACGTTCTCCGCTTGACAGCATGGCTCCTCACTGGTTCTCCAATGCTAAGAACCTCTGCTCCTCTCTGGTCAAACAAATCCTAATACACAGCAGGAGGAACACGACAAGAACAACCTACACGCATAAGTGGTGCAGATTTGTTTCTTAGTGCACTAACAAATGGGTAGATCCTTATATGGTACCTCTGTATGAAATCCTCGAATATATCCTGTCCTTTTGCCACTCTGGATTAGCTATATCATCTTTAAAAGTGCACTTGGTAGTTATTACTGCCTTCTGTCAACCTGTGGATGGCACGTCTATATTCTCACACTCTACTGCTAAGCACTTCCTCAAGGGGTTAACCAACCTCAACCCTCCCCACAGGCTTCCACCACCTCCACGGGACTTGAATCTAGTTCTGGACACCCTCACTAAACCACCTTTCAAGCTCTTCCAATGATTACAATAAAGGTTATTTTTCTATTGACAATTACTTCAGCCTGTAGGGTCAGCGCACTGGTGGCCCTGATGGCAGTACCACCATACACTGTTTTTGCCAAGCATAGTGTAATATTACAACCACACCCAGCTTTCATTCCTAAGGTTTTTTCTCAGTTTCATATTAACGAACCCATTGTTCTTTCGGTATTTTTCCTTAAGCCTCATACCTCCATTTAAGAGACACTACTGCACACCCTAGATCAGTGTTTCCCAAATGGTGCTCCGCGGAACCCCGGGGTTCCGCGAAGCGAACGTAAGGGTTCCGCGAGAACCCGAATCCTCCCCTCCCTCCGCCCATAAAGAGAAAGAGGAGCCCGGCGCGCAAAGACGCTCGCTCCTTCCCCGCTCCCCGTTCAGACATCTCCCGCATCCCCCGCTGCCGCTCTGCTTTTACCACCGGACCTAGCAGCAGCAACATCTGCTTGTCCCACTTCTGCCCGATCAACCCAAGATCCCTCTCCCACGTCCCCCGCTGCCGCTCTGCTTTTACCACTGGAAAACTACGCTCTGGTAGTTAAGAATATTTCTCCCTCTCTTAAAAATGTGTTGGATGAAGCAGTACAGATTATTAATTATATAAAAACTCGACCATTACAATCAAGACTGTTCAAAATTATGTGTGAAGATATGGGTTGTCAGCACACAGCCCTGCTTCTACATACAGAAGTCAGGTGGCTATCACGAGGAAAGTGCTGGTTAGATTATTTGAATTGCGTCATGAGCTCTCCGCAAATCTGATGGATCACAAATTCCAACTGTCTGATCATTTAACAGACTTTTTGTGGTTATCTAGAGCTGCGTATCTTGCAGACATATTTACAAAACTAAATGAAGTAAATCTGTCGCTGCAAGGAAAGAATGTAAATATTTTTAATGCGAAAGACAAAATTTTGTCATTGTCACGGAAGCTACAGTTTTGGATCTCATCTGTAGGAGGAAATGATTTGGATTGTTTACCAACTCTGAATGATTTCCTTGAAGAAAATGGATACAAACTTGATGAAGATATATTCGCAGCGACATTGCAGATCATCTCCGCGATTTATACACGAACATCATTAAGTATTTTCCCAACATCAATGACAACAATAACTGGATTCGAAATCCATTAAGTTTAACAGAAAAGCCAGTCAGTTTTTCTACACAAGATTATGAAAACCTAATTGAAATCGCTTCAGATGGCCAATTAATACACAAATTTAAAGAAGTTTCTCTGATTACATTTTGGAGTG